CCCACACTCCTCTTCACTCAAAAGTTGGTTAGAAATAATCATTAAGAGATTATTAGATCGTAGACACAAATTACAGAAGTCAGGAGTGAAACCAGAATTTAGGCTTTCCAGATGCTGAGTCCAAACTACAACTCCCTGTCTCAGACCAAATGGGACGTAGAAATCAGAATTGTTTCTAAATTGAATGGCTGTAACAGATTCCTATGAGTGTCAGCAGCTCTTTAGCTGCACGACTGCTRCTGGACTTTCCAGGTATACCCAATTGGCTGTACTTTGAAGAATAACAGGTAGAGTCTATCATTCCATCGAGATCAATAGAATATTAATGGATGTTGTCAGCAAACAGTAGCAAAAGGATATAGCTGTGAGGTCCTATTGTAAGAGAATAGCTTCTTTCAGCCTGGCTCCACTTAATGAAAATTTGTATCATATTCCTGCATGATAACTTCTCAGGGCTGTGTTTGGCAGTTCACCACTGGTATGGCATTCATATATGCTCAAACTGTGATCATCGTTTCAATGCTTCTCAGATGAGCCAGCACTAGTACACAGTCTGTATGATTTTTAAATTACATTTTTGAGAACTTTAATATATACTTTATCCAGTGAATCCCATGACATTTTTCCCTAGAATAGCATTATTTTTAAAAGGCACAATCAATTTACTTGGCACTTTAATGACAAGAACACCTTTTTTTTCAGGATGTTTTAGTCTGGGAAACTGCATTCTGCCTATGTAGAGTCCCAGCTGAAAAAAAGCATACAAAAAGCTAGGGAAGGAAGAAAGGAGAGGAGAGGTGAGAAGGAAGGGAATGGAAGGAAAGAGAAGAAAGAAGGTGAGAAAAGACAAGAGAAGAGAAACCAAGCACTTATGGTGCACTAAGAAATGGGTGTTTCATTCTGTCCTACAGCTGACTGCACTTCAGTGCTGAATCGTATGATTGACTTTATCTATATGGTAAAAAAGCATGTTTGAAATGTTTTATGATCCTTCAGAATGGCAAGTTTTTTTTTTTTTTTTTTATTAATATAGCATAAAAATGTGGCTTTGGTTACGCCCCTCTGGGTCCTCGTGAAGTCAATGCAACACAAGCAGTGCACATCCAAGAGCCAAATTTGTTTCTACATTAAAACCCCAGTAAACCTGTACAGGCACATCAGCAAAGGAAAAAGGACATATTCACTGCTACATAGAGCAGACCCTTCTGTATTTCTTGGAACATTACTCAAATAGTGCTGTAAGGAAGGAGCAAAACCAGTGATTTATGATCAGTGCAATCAGCTTGGCCATCAGGCCAGCTGCTCCAAACAGTACATAAGCAAAGCAAACTAAAACTGACCAAATATGATTGTGCTGTATCTTACCTCCTAACTGTTGGAATTATTTCCTTATTCTGAAGCACATGGCTGTCACCATGGACCCTTGCACAGGCACGATGCTCGTGCTTGCACAGGCCGTGTGAATTTTACTCCAGGGGTTGAAGCTGTTAGGCAATTATACCCTGGCTCTTTCTGTTATTTGTTGAGCAAAGGAGACACTGTGGTTATAAGAAGATCACAATAACTATCAGGCCTGTTTTACCATTTTTATGAGCGTTAATGGAACAAGGTTTGGGGACTGAAGGAGAAAATGGAATATGAAAAGGAAAATGAAAAGAGGCTTGTGAGGAAAGCATGTCATTTCTAAATGAATGCTCTGTGCAGAGGAATCGAATCTTTTCACAGCTGAAAATGGATCTTAAATCTGATGCCTTAGCTTGTTTCAGCTTCTGTAATGAAATAGAGTTTTCCTAATACCCTGTGACCTGAATTTCTCCCTGCTTTATGGGTGCTATTCCTTGATGTACAAACCTGTATTTTCTCAAGTCAGCATTTGATGATGGATGTCAAAATACAGGCCATGTATTATGCATATAGCATTACCGATTTAAGGTGTTTACTTGTCAAGTTGAAGAAATTCAAAAATGTCACATTCACTGAATCCACACAGCTGTCACTTGTAGTTTTTCTTGCCTTTAAATGAAAGTTCTGATAAAGCAGGTTAGTTCTCCTGTACTTTTTTCTTCTGGAGGAAAAAAATAGAGAGCCAATAAAATTTACGTTAAGATTCAGGAGGAGGAAAGTGCCTTTAGGTTGGCTGGTGTCCTGTGACAACCAAACAGGCACACAAAATCCCTAGCTCCTCTAATTTTCTCTTTCATGAATATAATGGCAGTTTATGATAGTTTTAAAAAGTGGGTTTGTTAAGGCATCTAAACAAAGGGAAATTAAATTAAAATCGCAGATATTTCTCTCATATTCCAAGACGATAGGATGAAAAATATTAAGGCATGAGTCCATTTCTCATTCAAGGAGAAAACAAAATCCCTTTAACATGCTTCCTGCATTTCAGACTGAATGCACTATGTGTGCAGTGTGCAATTACAGAGCTCTTGACAGCCTGTGCCTAACAGAAATGCCACATTTACTTCAATCTTCTAACACCATCCTAGGAAGACAAATATTTGAAGGGTTAGAGAGAGGTGGTTGCAAATAGCCTTCTGGAGAGAGTGTATTTGTGTGTGTGTGTGCAGCAGAGGGAGGGCAAGAAGGACTTAGGCATTTAGAAGCAGTTATGCCAGCTTTCTCCAATTTGTTTTCACCTGGTAGGGAAATACCAATGTGTGCTATCATCTGAATAGCCTACTCCACTCAAAAAAAAACTGTTTTTAAGAGGTGCATCCTGAGATGGGAAAAGTCTCCAGGAAAAAGAAAGAAGCAGGGCTTGAAGTGATGTTCCCACTTAGGTCCATGGGAACAAGATTAGTATTTTTTTTTCTCTCGAGTGAGTGTGGAAAGTCTTGCTGTTGCCATTTTGTATTGTAATTCCCTGGAGGACCCAACTAGGCCTGCCACTTAAGTTGCTCAAGTAGTTTCCAACTACTTAAGCTTTTATAATGTAGTGTGACAAAGCCTTGTCTTGCCGTTGCTGTAGCATCACCAAGTACAAAACTGAAACTTCTGCTGCGGCAGGAAGTCTCTCATTGATTTCTACCTCTTCACAGATAGCGGTCCCTTTGTTTGAAATGTGGCCCAGAGTCCTGCTTGGAATTGCCAGCTGTGTCATGGTTGCATCTAACTTGCAATGTGGCAGCTGAAGGCACTCAATTAGACTCACTTTTTGAGTCAAAGAAATCCCAGTCATAAGTAATCAAATCAAAGAGCCAAAATGACTATCACTTACTGTATCAGACACTGTGTGCAAGCATCTGCAAGTAGAAACCAGTTGGTAATACCAGGTTGGTCTTATTGAATAAGTTTCCATACAGTGATTAGTATTAAATGGCCAATTATTAACAATACCAACATTTCCAAGAGTCTCCAAGAATCTTACATTCTAAAGATTTTCTGTGCCCTGGTAATATAAAATTGACTTGCTTTGCTCTCTCAGATTTACTCGTGGCAAAGGATTGGTCCTTCAAGTGTACTGAATATACCATATCCACTTCTTTTCTCCCAAGGAATTCCTTCACAAACTTTTCCCCTCCCTTTTTATTTCTCCTCTCCTTAAATTTCTCATGTTGTACCTAGCTTTCCTGTGACAATCAGAAGGCAGTTCAAACTGGGATCTTTTACCTGGTTTCCTTTCTTCACTGAAGGAACGGGAGTATTTCTTAGTCATCCTAGTACAATCAGGTATCCATTCTATATTTTGTAATTTGCCTTGTTTAAGGCTAGTTTAATAGAGATGCTACTTAATACTGAGGGAAAAAAATAGCCCACAAAGTAGATAAAATCCGGTGTTATATTTTAAAAACTGCAGATTTGTTTAGAGGCTTCCTGGTATGTTAATTAGTMCCCAAATTGAATAAAGGAAAAGTAGACAATATCATATCATCTTATTCTGAATTTGGCAGCAGATGAATACATCAATGATTTTAACTCAGTGAAGGAGTTTCCACAGTAAAAGAAGATAATGAAGTTACATCAGGGGTGAATTTAGTTCTGATTGATTTAGAAGTGGCATATGGAGAAATCAAAAGTTGTTCACATCAAAAGCCTGTCCTTTTGGATGTCAGGTGTGAAGTAAGGAACTTGGGCATAATGTGGCAAGAAAAAAACAAATCAATGTTTCCTCAGCAATTTAATCATTTAAAATAAGCTTAGCTCATGCCTAATCCTAGGAAACAAATGTTTCTTCAAGAATACTCACATATGTCTAGCTGAAACTCCAAAGTCAGACTCTGGCTTCACCATCACATCTACAATGGTGATATTAAAGAAATATTTCCATGCTTTCTATTAACTTTAATGGAAAAGGGAGATGAGGCACATTAATGTCAACTGTGAATTTCCAGACCAACTGTTGCATGAGCTTTTGTATAACTACCTATTTTTCGGTACTTAAAATCAAACTCCAACAGGTCTTGCCTCTGTATTTTTATTTCCAAAAAGCTAAAAGATTAAAAAGTGCTTAGTGCCAAGAGCTCCATTTCAAGCTGTGTAGAGAATCGGGCTGAACACACAAGCTTTGTTAGAGGTGAACCTTGCTGCTCTCCAGATCATTTTTGCTTTGAGCTCCTGCCAATATGTTTCCTCTCCCACCTTTGCTTCCTATACATCCCCAATGGTATAAATCCATTTCTAGTTTCTTATCAAGCATTCCTCTTGTATACTATTTGAGAATCTGTTTCTTTTTCCTTTCATCCATTTCTTTTTCTGTTAGAATGGGTCCTTCCATCCTARTATTTCCATAACTGTAAACCTCATGAAAATACATGAATTATGCATGAAGAAAAAAAGGGTTTGGGAAATAATTTATTAATTTATTATTATGTGTCATACGTGTTTTAGAAGGATGATGCTTATAAAATAATTTCAAGTTTTTTTATTTTTAATGAAAAAGCAGAATTACTCATATCAGCCTAAAAAAAAAAMCATTGTATTATTATATATACAGAATATATACACACGTATGTTTTCTTTTTTGTAAACTTTCTCTATAATTCTTTTTCTTTTAGGCTTTACACCMCCGGGGATGGATAGGTCATCTCCAGACAACAGTCCAGTCCATGGCCTGTTACGTCAACCCTCCATTACGACAGGAGCCAACATCCCTATTATAACAGAGCTAGGTAATCAAAGCTAACATACATCCTTTTAAGTACATTCCCATATCTTTTTTCCTCCTTCCTTTGTTGTGCAGTCTTGGAAAAGTTATCTATACCATAAGTTATACTGCTATGATTTCTCTTTAGTTAACTGTTTCAGTTTATTCTCACTAATGGAAAATTRGTAACAGTCTTTTTTATTTTATATGAATAACTAAAATATATTTATCTCTTTCCTTTGAGTTTAAAATAAACAATAGGTCAGACAATATGCTTTTTACATACTCTAACAAATAAACAGATTTCTGTGGAAGAAAGTTAAAAAGAGAGAAAAAAAAAAAAAAAAAGCACAGTAAGTATGAGCAGACATTTCCTGTGCATTTAATCAATAGCAAGAGGCCATTTGTTTATTTCTTCATGGTCCAGAACTGTTTAATCATGTGTAACCAAGCTCTGTATAATAGTATGAGACTTGTTACCCTTGAGAATACAATGATGGTAGGTAACCAGGCTCTGATTTCCACACTCGCTGTGGGTATTTATGTTGTCAAGTGGTGTGATGTGAAGTGCAGAAGCTTTTCTGTTTTTTTTCACGGCAAATACAAACTTGATTTGTGGTCCTTTGTCCTTTTTTCTTTTTCTTTTTCTTCTTTTTTTTTCCAGTTCTATTTTTTAGAGCCTTACCTGTCTTTTTCCCTTACTTTATTCTCTTTCTGTACTTTCTTTCCCCCCCTAAATACTTTACTTATTAGCTAAGCCTGGCAAACTTCTGCCTTTGGTTTCAATCAGTCAGGAAAAAAACAGTGGRACCCACATTCTAATGATAACTGAACTGGGTAAGAGTGCCTTTTTCCTTCACATCACTGGCCTATTTTCTGTTGTTGTTGTTCTTACTGTCATCAGCTTTTTCTTTATTTATCTGGCTGTATCAGAGGGGCTACCCTCATGGCACTGCTTTGAATGTGTTTTATTTGTGGTTCTGGTTGAAATTGACTGTCTTGTTCTGGCCTTCCTTAATGATTTTTTTTTTCACGCAGCATCAGTAAACCTTTGATCACACTCGTCTGACCTGCCGGCTGTTTTCATCGCACCTTCTCACCAATTCATTTTCTTTGGCCTGGGTCTCTCCCTGCACCCTTTCTCTCTCTCTCTCTCTCTCTCTCTCTCTCTCTCCCTCTCTCTCTCTCTCTCTCTCTCTCTCTCCCCCCTTTCTCTCAGTCTCTCTTTTTTGTTATTCCAGCCTGTTGTCAGTGTGATGGACATGCCTTAACAGTTCTCCCAGGCCGCCAAAGAAGAAATAAAAGATATCAGAAAAGAATCCCCAGTATCACACTTTCTCTAAAGCTACATTTTTGTTTATTTTGGGGTGCAGGCCTTTTCTCAGAAGCTCAGGTTTTGAAACTGTAAAAGGGCGGCCAAGCTTCTGTGTTTGCTCCCTCTCCATAAACAGAGATTACTGGAGCATTTGCCAGCRGTGTTGGATCAACATGTCCTATGATGCAGCACTCCGCATTTAAGCCTACCCCACCAAGCCCAGAGACCTTTTGTAGGACTCATAGCAGGCTAACTTGCATTGGGAAGATAAAGATCTCGAGGCTAAAACTGCACTTAGAGAATCAGCATTAGATTTGTAGCACCTTGAGAACCGACACCACCCACAGCTCGCAAGCTGGTGTCAGAGACAGGTATTAGTCTGCCAGATATAAGTGGAAGAAGAATGCTGCTGTCAGTAGTGCCTGCTCTCAGCTAGCAAATTAAGCTAAGGCACAGGCTTTTCAAAAAGTACATTTGAAATGGTACGTCAGGCTTTCAAATACTATTTTGCTCAAGAATCCGGTGAATAAATTGATAGCCGTAGTACAAAGAAAGGAGTATTGTAGATATTGGTGTTTGCTAGGATGAATTACAGCAGAGTGGGGAGGCAGGACTCCTGCTTTGGCTCTGCTCATGATTTTCTATGTGATCATGGTCATGTACTGTTCAATGGGGCTTTAAAATGCTTCTCTGTTCATAAGGCCTGTGAGGTTTGATTCGTATTTATTCATGTTTTGTTAGCTAAGCATGGCAAGTGCAGTAGTATGTAGATAGAGGTTGAAAAAGTAATAGATAGAAAATTAAACTGCATAGGAAGAAAGACTAGAATAACTAGCAGAACTTGTAAACTAAAGCCAGACTCTCACCTGGTCTTGTCAGCAGCTCTCAAGTTGGTTTCACAGCTTCTGGAGCCAGCTCAGTAGATGCAGTACCACTGGGAATAGTCACATAGTCAATGTGTGCATTTTCAAAGTTTTTTAATTTTCCTTCCTTGCATGGGAATTGAAATTAATTTGTCATTTAGTAAGTTAAATGGGTATTTTGATGGCATAACTAAGCAGTCTGTGCTTTCATGCCTGAGGAGTACTAATATGGTAATGAAATATTTCATGAAATATCATTCACTTGATAAACTGATCTCAAGCAAGGAGCTATTCATAGTAGAGGGATAGAGGCAGGGAGCTTAACTTTGACAAGTAAATGCCAGAGAAAATCTAAATGCAGAGTACTACTTAATTTGAGCTTTTCAGTCTGATATAGACTCTTCATCACACTGGCTAATGTAGAATYTCTGGCTAAGGTAGTGTAGAAAATGTACTGTAGAGAAAAATACCTTAACAAAAGGTATTGCTGCAAGAATATAGCTGGAGTATTGCTCGCTTCTTCAGACTTATGCATGTTAAAGGGACAGTTTATCTTCTTTTTTTTCTTACAGTAAATGTATGAACACAACTTTAGTAAGAGTCACAGCAGCGCATCTAGCATATGCCTTTGGGCTAAATCAGTGTTTTATGGAGAGACTGTAATTTACAATGGGATTCTGACTTGTCCTGCAATAGCATTTCATGATACATCCACACAACCTTAGCCACTGTTTCTGACCAATACCAAGATTGCCTCAGTTATAGAAAAGCTTCATGTTTCTCATTCTGAGGTCAAGCTGCAGGTTCAGCAGAGCTGCTTTTGCAGCAAAGGGATAGTCACCTCCCAAGAGCAAAAGAGTCACCTCTTACAAGGAAGATAAGGATCAACAATTTTTTAAATGCACATTTTCACATCCATCTTGATTTCATTTTCAGTGACGTCAAAGACACGAGTCTGTCTTGCCAGACATATGCCGTTTCTTTTTCTTTCTGGTTGTGTAATATGTAAGTCACATATTGGTGACTCAGAARCACCTTATGATTTATTATTATTATTATTATTTTCAGTAAATGATTCGAATGTGCAGTTCTTGGACCAAGATGATGATGATGACCCAGACACAGAACTGTATCTCACACAACCCTTTGCATGTGGAACTGCATTTGCTGTCAGCGTGCTGGATTCCCTTATGAGCGCAGTAAGCAAACAAAACCTTTTTCTTTCTCTCCCATGAGACCTACTCTGAAAGAATATGGAAGTATATTCTCTGTTCCATAGGTAGTCCAGAGAAAACATTTTTCTCTTGAATTTCAAGACAGTTCAAAAGACAGTTCAATTTCATAAACTGTGATTATTTCAGTTTGATGTAGAGACTTCTAAAAACCAGAGCTATTTAGGACCACTGTGAGTATTTCATCTCATTTTTGAACGAATGAGTCTCATGTTCAGCTTGAAAGATTATAATTTCCAAAAAATGTTGAATTTCCCTCCTGAAGTCCAAACCCAAATTCAGTGTGTTGGTCTCTGTGCTAACTGTTCATATAAGACAGCATCAACTTTGAGCTTCCTGTAGCCATGAACAATGTTAASTTCATACTCTGAGCAGGAGCAGAGGGGGACACTAGTATATCTGTACAAAAGYTATTGTACACACTAAGTGAACTCTCTTTGTGTGAAAAAAGGTCATTATCTCTTTTTCACGTGAATTGTTTTGTGAATCGAAACATATGTGCTTGACAGAAACTCCAGATGGTGGCCTTTGCTTATGTCTACATTAGAGTTTTGGTTTGGAGCTGTAGTAGAGTTTTGAAGCGTCTCAGTCATCCCTCTTTTTATCATCCTTACTTCATATTGACTAGGTTTGGACAATATTTTGAGAATCTATCACACTGTTGTTTCTTTTTTGCTGTCGACTCTGTCTCAAAGGCAGTTACTGAGATTAGCTCAGTTGTTGCCCATGTTTGGATATGTATTCATCTTAAACAAACAGTATTCATTCAACAAAATACCTCCTGCTGTAAAAGAAAAACAGGTTAAAATATTTGTTGGAAAAAGATGTTAAAAATATTGTAGCATTGGGCAGAGAGGGGCCTTCTCAAAAAAAATCTATGTAAAAAAAAAAGCAAATATGAAAAATGGCAATATGACTTGGAAAATGACAATTTTAGAGTAATTATAAATGAAAGGCAAAGTGTCATTAAAGTTAAAGCAATGTTATTAAAAGATGTGCTAATTTTCAGTTAAATTTTCTGTAAAAGACCAATTAGTTTAAAAGGCTTGACAGCATTAACTGCAAAACATAAGCGCTATGGTAATTATACTTTAAAAAATGATTGAACAAACGGGAAGGCATCCCTGGAACATTTACACTTTCAACAAGCTGCGTTATCATTCCATAGCACAGGCTAGGTGGCACTGCTAGCTCAGATATCTGTGTCAGGATATCCTTGTCACTTACCCAGTTTTAGTATCTATGATGCACTTCCTTTTTTTGGCTTTTAGACTGTACCTATTTCATATTCTCATTCCGGGTATTGGTTATAAAGTTGTTATGGAAACGTCCAGTGTGAGGTACATGAGTAGCAAACAAGTATTTTTCCAGTTATGATTTTCCAGCTAACAAAAAGAATTCCTGCCATTGCTGAAAAGTGTCTTGTTACTTTAAGTGCTGCCGCACCTTTCCAAAGACATTCCATAGATTGCTTTCTTATAAGTACTGGCATATCCAGGGCATCTACTCTCCCACAGAGCAAGTAGAAGATCACTCTCAAATTAATTTTAGTGTAGTATTATTCTAAACGAAATGGATATCAGCTAGTTCAGCTTTTCAGTGCTCTTCAATTCCATACTGGCAAGAGGTAATAAGAGGCCTTTGGTCTGATTTTCATGACAATCAAAACAATTGAGGATTGCGTTTTTTYYTTTTTTTTTTAMCTTWTTTTTTTWAMYTTTTTTTTTTTTTTTTTCCTGAAGAGAGCTAAAGAGGAAGAAGTAACCCTAGTTAGCAAAAGATGCCAAGTTCACCATCCTTCCATGCATGTGGTTAGGCATTTTCTGATGGGTTGTGATGCCAGAGCAGCCCATTCTGATAGTTGGAACCTTTCATTCATTGATGGCAGATGAATAAAACCATCATTTGGCTGCACTCATCCATCTGATTAAATGGTGACATTCACATCAGTCATGGTGTGAAACCCAAATTAAACCATTGTTCCAAGATAAATGTTGCCTCCCTTGCTAATAAGTATCTTAGCTTTGCTTTAACATTTGTCTAGCAGTGGGAGGCCTGTCTTTGGTGACAGCGTTCTGTTCCACTGACAATAGACCTGATTCTGTCCTCCTTGACATCAGCTTCAGAGCAGGGTATGGCTCCCAGAGTTACTTAGAGTTAGTCCTGTTGGCACGTGACAGAAAGTCAGAATTGAACCTATTATTTCATACTTTCACTTTGGGGCTTTCTTCTTTTTCTTTCTTTTTTTTTTTTATTTTTTATTTTTTTGTATACTAATGAGCTTGTGACAAGTGTCTAACTTGATACATTATTTTACCTATGCCTTTATTTCTCAATTTGTTATGAGAACTGTAGAAAAATGAGCAATATGACAACAGTGTAATTTCGTACTCTATGATGCTCTAGTGAGCTACACCTGGATAGCGGGACAATTGTGCTCTTACACAGAATGAAATTCAGATATGTTTGAATCTTGAAATCTGGCTATAGTAGCTATTACTTACCTTGTGGAATAGAGAGAGAGAGTTGGAATATAGCGATGTTAGGCCTAAAAGTGAAAAAATGATTAGTACAGTATTTTTAATCTTTCATGTGTTACACCAGTCACTGAAAGTTACCAGTCTATGAAAAGCAGACATTTCACAGAGACCAACATGAATCAGTCTTAAGAGTAACTAAGCATTTCTCATTATATTTGACTTCAATGTAATAAGACTATAAACTAGACTTTAAAAATCTACTGGTAAAGCCATCTGCTACTTTTGTTTAATCATTTATCTTGATTTATATAGAAATAAAAAACCCCACAAAACTAAAAAAATGAAAATAACATTTTAAAATAATATTGAATATCACTACTTAGAGAAGAAGAGAGGTTAGTAATCAAAGTCCTGCATAGAAGAATGGGAAGGTGTAAGAAAAGATTCTGTTGCATAAAATAGTGTGTTTTTCTAAAGATGTGTGTTTAAAGTGCCATATAAAACATGATGAACCTGAAAGGGCTTTGCCAGTTTCTCCAGTTCAATGTATCCAACCTCTAGATCTAGAACTCAGTTTGAGATCCATGAAACTTGTGTCACGTAAAACTGATGCYTAACTACAGGAGGAAAAGGAATTCTGCTAATCATTATGTCTGAGTTGTGTGTCATGTATGTTGACAAAGGACAAGAAAAAAGCTAAGCATGATGCCAATTCTTTGATTCTGAGAACTTTCGTGTTGGAAAAGTATAGCACAGTGGGCAGTGTTGCCAGGGAGATCCAGATTCTCACCTCAGCGGCATCAAGGAAGATGTAATTGAAAGGAGGGGGGAAAAAAAATCATACCTGCTTGTCTTGCCTCTCTCACCTGTGTAGCTCCCATTGAACATCTTGGAATCACATTGATTTTTCTATATATTGAGAGGTTTGAATATTGCACTTGAATTGTTGCACATGGCCACAGCTCATCCACACATGTAAAAGCTGATTTTTAGATTAACTGTTGTTTCAGATTTAACTGATTCTTCCTGAACATTTGCTAATTCCAGATTACTCTGTACAGTATACTTTGTTTTTGCAATATGAATGCTTTACTCAGTCTAATTAAAATTAATTAGAGTTCATGAGATTTAAATATTTGCTTTAGGTCAGCTAAAACAATAGCAAGCTTTTCCTCTCATYTGTATTTAGTCAACAGGTGAATGGTGTTTATGTGTCCATGTAAATAAGCTTGAATTTTGAAATTTCTATATGACAATGATAAACATTGCAATTAATGTAGAATTCTTCAATTTTATCTGTCATCTCAAGTGAACAATAAAACTGAAGTTTCATTATTCAAAGAGAGTGTATCAAAGTAACATGGATAGGAACCCAGTTTTGCTTTTTGATCTCAGGATAAAGCATTTCAACCTGTACCTCAGTTTACTAATTTATTAAATACAGTTACTTTGTGTGGATAGAGCAGTGACTTTCGTTGCAAAGTATTTTTGAAATCTTTGCACAATAAGCACCATCTGAGAATTCAATAGTCGTTATTACGTGGCTGGCTTACAGACATATTTGTTCCAAGTCCTAATTTCAAGAGAAGGCACAAATCTAGTAACATGACTCCTGCACACTCTAGTTAGCTCATTTTCTCCTTATATGTCCCCCACACTTACAAAGCTTCTGAATACCCAGACATTAGTGACATTTTAAGTGATAGTGTCTGCTTTTTTTGGCAATGATTATTTTTTGCTTAGTATATACTCTACACTGCAAATATTTAAGTGAGTATCTCTGAAACACAGCACTATACTTTTAAGTGAACTTGAAAGTCATTCATGTGGCATTAAATTAATATTTAAAATGCCCATTGTTTGCCTGACAGACCAGCGATGCTACAGATGCTGGCAAAATGTCAGTGTGGAGTAAATCTTCCCTAATAAACCACACTTACCCTATACCCTAGAGTTTTTTAAAAGGACCACCAGGATCCCAAACTCATCATACATTTATCTGGAATGAACTCAAGATGTTTAATTGATACATGCTTATGTCTGAACACTGTCAAGTCTCGTAATAAGATGTTTAGTACAATACATCGGTTAGACTGCTAGAGTCCAGCTGCAGTAATAAGTAATGACATTTGCAGCACAAAGGCAGCTCCCCAACGAATTGGTGACAAGAGTAAAAAGGCAATCTAGCCCGTGTAAGCTTTAAATGTGGTCTGAATTTTACAATTACATGTCCTAAAGCCCATTATTAGACATGAAGGCAATGCGAAGGAAAGCAGTCATTGCATCACTACTAACACCAATTATAGGAAACATAAATCATTCAAATTTTTGTACTTTAATAAAAATCAGCCTGAATTGGTGTTTAGAAGGCAGGATCTAGTATAGGAGCCTAATGGGATAGAAGAAAATAGAGTAATTGGAAGCTGCTGTCTTTTCACTTTCTATATAAAATTATTTGAAGAGACAGCCAAGAACTTTAAACAGCAGAAACCCAGAAAAGTTGTAATTTGGATGTCTTCAGTTGTGACTCTAATGGTGTTTGCTTAAGGAGCTTTCTTTTATCTCTGCAGACATACTTCAATGACAATATCCTCACCCTGATCCGGACACTGGTAACAGGAGGAGCCACCCCGGAGCTGGAAGCGCTGATCGCGGAGGAGAACRCGCTAAGGGGCGGCTACAGCACCCCACAGACCCTCGCAAACAGGGACAGGTGTCGAGTGGCACAGCTGGCTCTGTATGACGGGCCCTTTGCAGACCTAGGGGTAAGAGCATGGCAGAAGAGCAGGACGGCAGCTAGTCTGCAATCAATTTGCTTTCCCTCACATTCACTCAAAAATCTGTATTAATTAGCCTATCATTTCTGTTATTTAATTTGTCAAAGCTTTTGGAAGCTCTGGTGACACTTTACAGCACGAGGTGCCAGGTTTGCCCTTACTCTTTTGGCAAAGCCATATGAGCCCTCAAAACCGTTGTCTGGGTGTTTCATGCACAGTGAMCAAAATGGGACTGTTCCGAGGTTTCTTTGAAAGAGATGAATGAGCTGACTTGTATGGTGAGAAAKGGACACCTATTCTAAATGTGAACAGCATCTAGCCCTTTGTTGGGTTTTGACGGCCTTGTTTAATCTTTGCATGATTGTTTTTGTATTTTTTAAAATATGCTTATGAGCCTGAAAATAAAGTTGTAAAAATTGTTCTCTGCTCTTTGTGGATGAGCAAAAATTCTAATGAAACTCCACTTTTCTGGACCAAATATTGTAGTCTTCTTGCGACTAATGACAAAAGATCCACCTTCCCTACACATCCACATTTCTTAAATTACCCTTATATTCACCAGCTTTGACCCAAGAGAATGCAGCAATGCCTTTCATAGGAATGACAGAAAATTGCAGATTAAGAATTAATCTGGTGTATTGAGAATATGTAGATACAAACAGCCTATCATTTCCTGTAGCAGCAAATGGGATCCTTTCATAGCTGAGATTAACAGCTCATCAAAACATTTGACTACGCAGAGCAGTGTTTGGCAAATATAATGAGCAATACCAATCCTTCAAATGATACTACATCAGAGCTTCAGTTGCTCTTTGTAACTGATGATAGAATGAGTTCTAATCAATTAARCTGTTAATTAACATTACTACCTGAAATCAATATTTTAGGTATGCAGATATCAAATGTAAACTCATTTTTAGCTAAGCGAAACTTTTTTTTATTCTTTATATGATTTTAAAGTGACAATTTATTATAATTTTGTCTTCTAATTTAACTCTCTAATTTCCGTTGTGCTCCCTATTGAATTTATTTGTCAAGCAGACGGTGTCTGTACTGCCAAAAAGAGTCAAAAATATTAACCAATTTGTTAAGACAATAGCCATCGTAATTTGTTGAATATGCATTGCTTGATCTGAAAATTTACATTTCCAACTTAAAACAAATCAACCCCCTCTCCAATTTTGCATCTTTTCATGGACCAGTGCTCTCCAAAATAATAATCATTTTACATAATTGCTTGATTTGAAATAAAACAGATTATTTTTTTCCTTGACTAACAGTTTCTCTTTTGTGACAGGCAACAATCTATCCAGTGTCCTTTTTGTAGAGAGCCAGGCTGAAACTCTTTCTCCCTGTCATTGTGTAAACAGGTAAATGAGAAAAAAATAATTCTGTTGTCTTTTTTTTTTCTTTCTTTTTTTTTTTTTTTCCTCTTTGTAGGATGGAGGTTGTTATGGAGATCTATTTTGTAAAGCATTGAAAACATATAATATGCTTTGCTTTGGAATTTATCGATTAAGGGATGCGCATCTAAGTACGCCTAGCCAGTGCACTAAACGGTAAGTTCTGCTTTTTAATTTCTCTTTCACTGTTTTTCAGGCTTCTGAGCAAGGAAGATCACAGTGCCTGAAGCAAAATCTCAAAAAAAGCTTTCTCCAACTTTGCTACAATTTTGCTACAAATGCTAACTTTTTGCTAAGTCCTAATGATTCTTTAGATGAGTTCGAACTATAGGCTGGATATCAAAACTTTTCAGGCATATGCTTCAGGCACTTTTAATTGAAAAAAATGAAAATAAATTTAGAGCACACATCTTCATTTTGTTTGATTTATGATCATCCATGCTTTGCATACAAGAAAGAAAAAGATTTGTTTGCTAATGTCAATCAACAATACATCTGTATCATTAGCAGAGGCTAGTTATCTTCCAATTTGCTTTGATGATATGCTTTAGATAATTGTAGTTTTATTTTCCTCTTTCTTAATCCTCAGAATAAATACTCCTGTGGGCTTCCTATGAGTGTTACCTCTATCATTTCTTCTTGTATGCAAAAACCACTATTAGGAGGCTACATTTTTACTTCAGCAGGAACAAGTCTTAGAGCACGCACAATTTTATCTTTGCAAACTGAAGGCCAGTTAGCAGCTTACTTGAAAATGTGTTTTAATTAAGTGCCAGCTAGAAATACACATGCAAAGCTTTCCCAGAATTATCGCAGCTCTACCATCTGTTACTGTCTCATTCTCTACCAAAAGCATCATTTATTGGGTGGTCATGGAAATAAAGAGCACAGCAGCCCACCATAGTTAAAAACAAACAAACAAACAAAAMCCCTCACCTTCTGTAATATTCTGGACAAGTGGTATAGAAAAAACATTTTCAGTGTAGATTTGCACTGTACTTGCTATACTTGAGATTATTTTTTGGATTAATAAGTTTCTTTAGCCCCTTAGGCAGCTAAAYCAGATCTCTTATGAGCACTAAAATGTTTTGAAAAGAAGTTGTAAGCTTCATGATAAATTTTTATTTATTTCTGGCTTGGATGGARAATTCCTATTGCCTTGTTCAAGCATGATATTCCTCACATGCAGGAAAAAAATTCAGCGGCAGGTTCTAGAAGGCATTCCTACTCCTGAAAGGGACCCTTCAAAAGTGGAAAATTTCTGCAGTTGATGGAGATTTTATTTTGGTGCTAGATTCTTGGATATGTGCAGACTTTCTTTCTAAATGCTCTTTAAAGACAGGATGTACAGTTGATCCCACTGCAAATGTGTTAATATATTTTCCTTATCTTGTATTATGTCAAAATAAAAACAAACAATGATATTCTTTGCTCTATTGACAGTATTTAAATATTCCCCTATAGAATGAACTGCATCTAAAATCCTCTTCTCCCAGCTTTTCACCCATTCTTTTAAATGCCATTACTGTTAAGTTATTGCAGGTATTGGACAGTATCTCTTTAGTAGTGTCATTGCAGGAGAGTGACTTGCATGATGTATTCCCTGCACAACCATTATGTGGTTTCCCTGGGGAAGGTCCTGCTCAGTTTGCCTGCCCTACTCAACAGCAAATATACAAAAAGGAATGGGAGAGCAGATATAAGGTGGCCTGCATAGTTGTGCATAAGTCAATGGAAACAGAAATAGAAAWGAAAAAGAAAAAATAAATATTCATAAGATGACATTTCTGGCAGAAATATTTTAGAACAAATCTAAACTTCTTTTTCTCTTTCTTTTTTTTCAGTTATGTTATCACAAACCCACCATATGAATTCGAGCTTGTGCCGACAGACTTGATCTTCTGTTTGATGCAATTTGACCACAATGCTGGCCAGTCCCGGGCCAGTCTTTCTCATTCTTCCCATTCCTCCTATTCTTCCAGCAAGAAGAGCTCATCAGTTCACTCCATCCCATCAACAGCAAACCGACCGAACCGCACCAAGACCAGGGATTCACGGGAAAAACAGAAGTATGTGCAGGAAGATAGACTTTGATATGTGTACCTGCTCCCACTGTGTGTGAAACTTGCATCCACCACCCATTCTCCCCAGTTAATGTTTCCGGCAGTAAATGTTCCCTGTTTTCCCATGGAGTTATCCCTTTTTGTACACATATTTTGCATATGTATGACAGTGTGCATGTGATGGTCATTTTTATTTCACCACCATAAAACCCTTAAGCACAACAGCAACAAAGCAGACGGACCAAAAGTTATTTATGATGCTAGGGGAGAAAAAAAATCCAAACCCATAGGCACACTGAAAACATAAATAACTCACTGCAGTAACTACTCTACATATCAGCAAATAGAGTATATTTAACATGGACACTTGCTGTTGATGTCAGAGTTACACAAAAAAAGTCATTTAGTGTAGAAGTGTTGATATATATTGGGGTAGTTTTTTTATATATATATTTGTATTTACATTTATTACATTTATTTGAAGCTTATAAACTGACCCATAAAAAAAAAAAAAAAAAAAAAAAAAAGCTACTGATCACTCTAAAAGCTGATACTGTGTAAGGCTTTCACTCTTTGTATAGGTTATTGTTAAGCACCTGCTTTTACTGCTTTTATACCAAAGCAACATCAGGGACTTTTCTGCTTGTATAAGGACTTTATTTAAAATATTAGCCTTTTGAAGATAGTGTCTTTTCCCTTTAACACTGAAATTGTCTGGGCATGGGGTTGTAAAACTCCAATGGTTTAATTTAAGTTTAGGAAGAGTCTAATTGCATATTAAATTATTATTCTGTCTATTTATGCTGCCACATGAATAGCTGTATTTTCTTTCACTTTTGACATTTGGGATGAAAAGCCATATGTATCATAAATATTGGATGTAAGTCATTAAAAACTGCCTTCCTGGGACTTTACGTCTTTAAAAGGTGAATTAGTCACCTTATGTACAGAATAAATAATGTTCAGAAAAGAGCAAGCATTTTTCCATGCTTTAAGTATTGGTCCTCAAGGGACTTTGTTCCTTTCCCCAGATGCTAGTTTAACTTTTCCAAGTTAAGAGAGATGGTATAAAACTCTTAGTGAGAGTCCTGCTCTTAGGAGATGCTCCAGAAATCCTGGGCCTTGCTCTGGCTGGATCTTTACAGCARGTGCTGCCAGTTCTCCATGAGCAGGAGAATATAGGAGATGAGGTTTGAGTGCCTTGAAGATCCAACAGGTTCCTCTCCCATTTCAGAAGGAAAGGTGCTGTACCCCAGAGGGGCAGAGCAAGAAGGATGATGGAAACATCCACTGTGTCCAGGTCCTGTGCCATTTGGCTCCAGTTTGGTTCTTGTGTGCTCTTACCAACGATACCCGAGCCAGACAAAAATTGTGGCAGGAGATTAAATAAAGCATTGGAAAGGAAACTATGCTAGACAGTCACAATTTGTTTTTTAATTTTGAATGCTGACCACTGAGATATAGAAATAGTTCTAGGTGGTGTGAAGAGGATTTTTTGGGGGGTTGAAAGGGAGACCAGACAAACACATGCTATCTCCGGTGGCTGACCAGCAAAAAGAGCATGCAGAGAGAAAATAAATATTCAGACTTGGGAGTGACTAGCATGGTAACTGCCAACCCAGACAAGGTGCTTTTATGGTTAGTGCTGTTTTCTACCTTCCCCTTCCCCAAGCATGATAATTTTGAAGATTTGCTTGCTGTGTGAATTGACAATGAAGCCAAGCACTTTTACTGACAAAACCTGGTACCATTTAAGTGGGCTACACAGAGTGCCTCTGTGCAGTGCTAAGCATAATGATTGGAATACAGTATATATGAACGTGTGCATTCAAATGCAGCTGTAAGTCTTATCAGTGGAAAAATGTTGCAAATTATGCTTACTCCCCACAAATGGGTATATTACAGTTGCTCTTGATCACAAAGACAAATTCATGTGTTCTTTTTTGCAAAGGAAGTTATTATGGTGTTTTGCCCTAAGAATATTTATAACTATAAGGATGTGCCAGTTAAAGTGCTCAACAGAAAATATGACAGTTTAAAAGCATTGTAAAACTTACATAGCTTACTTCTTTTTCTAAAGTGCAACAAGGATGAATAGAATGGGCCAAGGTATGACAATTAATGGTTCTGCATGATCTAGCAAATGCTGTGGGTTTCCTTCTATAACTTGTCCTTGTGAAAACTTGTGAAATTAAAAAACAAAATAGTTACAAACTTTATTCACTTATTGGTTTGTTTGTTTGTTTTCTTCTTTTTTTTTTTTGCCTTTTTTCCCCCAAACCAGAAGTTAAACTGGCTGCTGCTGCTGCTGCTGTTGCTCAACCCTATTTTATTTTTATTCTCTCATCTGCTTGCCTTTCTGATTGCACGTGTCCTCTTGTAACTGCCCAGGTTCCTGCTCAATGAAGATGCTGCCCTAATACAGATGTTATTTTAATTTCCCAGTCCTCATTCCCATCCCCTTTCCTCCCTTCTCCCTCTTTCCCTCCATTTATGTTCATGAGCATATTTTTGTGTTTACATTGGCAATATTGACTGAAGATAGTTGAGAACAGTTATGCATTTTGGAAGAATGTTAATGGCTTTGACACCAAAATGCTTTTCCATTAATGTTTTATCTGCTTTCCTTTTAGCTGAGGAAGGAAGGGTGTTAATATGAAACCACTTGTCATATATTACATAATGGTGATTATATCCAAAAATATAGTGTTTGTATAATTGTGCAGCTCAAATAGAAAATATAAACACTCTACATTAGGAAAATAACTTGTCTGGTTTGCTGGCAACAGAAGAAAAACATCCAATATGGGATGCAGATTTGAATTCTTCAGACTGCACTGATGTCCGTTTCTGCTGTCTTCTGTCCTTAAGTCTTTGGACTTAAGGTTTTGTCCTTCAGTTATACTGTGTGCATTTTTTCTCCACTAACTATAATCAAATTGATCAAATGGTTTATTGCAGTGCTGAAAATTTTTCTCATAAGGATATACTAACCAGGCTGTGACTGTTGATCCTGATAAGTAGAGGAATGTTTAAATCACTTGTGTCATCAACTCTTTTTTATGTTGATGTATATATGCTGGGAAATCTCCCATTTGTGCAGAAATCTAAGCCAAACCTGAGTCATACAATCTTACTCAACACCATGGTTAATTTATAAAGTACAAAAACTGTATTGTTACCAATGGCCACAAATAACATCTCAGTGGTTTAAATGTAGGACTTGCCGCTTGTGGCATGTCTATATGGTTCCCACAATGGAAGCTACAGGTGGCTCTGACACCAATTAATATCCAGAGCACTTGCAGGCAAACCCCCAAAACTTTATTCCTGGCTACATGTAAAATATTAATCTGCCAAACAAATAATTAAGGAGTAGTTTGATAGAGAAACTTGCATTACTTAATTCTCATGTACAAAGAAAATGCGAGAAGTAAAACAGTTTTAAACTACGTTCTTTTTCAGGGTGTGCGTGTATGTGAGTGCATGCACACACAAACAGGTATATCCAACTTCATTTGAAATTGCAAGTGTCACAAGAGAAAATTTTTCTTCTTTAAAACAGCTGTAACCAGAACAGGGGCTATGATAAGAATACACATTTAGCAAATTTTGATATGTTTACCTGCTGCATTCCTTGTCTCTCCTCAGAAGAGAGGATGTTTCACAGTGATAGCTGTTCAAATAAAATTTTCCAGGACAGAATTAATGACAGCAATTTTAAAGCAAACGAAAAGAAACCTGTTTGAGAGAATTGCTGAGGTCTTTTTTCAAGTGGAAGAAATCTGTATTTTGATCATTTTATTTTTAATTATTGATAACTTTTGGTGCTGCAGGAAGCATTCTTACATAGGATATTAATATTTACTTATTTCTAATATAAGCATGCTTTATAATTTCTCACTTGGGTGGTGATGGCCCATTACAAACATAAGTGTTTGAAAGGAAAGTAAATGTTTCCTACTTCCTGATACCTGAAGTTGCTTAGCTCTTGCAACAGCTCTCAGCCGATGCTGTCAAAAATATACCCATCAAATATCGTAGGAAGATCAGGGACTGCCTTAAACAGCTCTTGCAAAAATAAAATAGAAAGCCAGGCCTGCTCTAAGACTCTCTCTATAGCACAGAAACATATGCATGTTTCTATGGATCAAGATGCATATGCCAAACAGGAGAGAGACTGACAGAACATGACGGAGAACAACAGAAAACACAGGGGGATAAACCAGCCTGTGAAGACCTAAAACAGGATTTTATGGATAAAGGAAAGTGGGCTGCTTGAGATGGTTTCAAGTGTGGGCTGACTTTGGAAGACCTGAAAGTGGTGCTGTGAGAATTAAAAAATAATCAGAAGTGCAAGGTGTTAAGGAGGGCATTTATGTACCTGGGGCAGGATGTATTAGTGGATGGGGTGAAAACAAGGAGCGCCAACCCTTGAAAGGTAAGTTGAGAGGGTGAAGGATTTTCATGTGAGATTTGTCGTCCTCCTGTCAAACACAGTGTGAGCACTGGAAAAGGGAYCAGGAAGGTATAAAGCCAGATCCAAGCATGTGATGCAAAAACGGCGATGCCTGGACCAAGGTTTTAGCTCTGGCAAAGAAGTTTAAATAGGGATGAGAAATAGATTTGCAGGTAGGTTTCTGTATTTCAGATAAAGCCCCCCCCCCAAAAAAAAAAAAGAAAGAAAAAAGGGACATAATGGAGTCTTTTTAAAGTTAACTCCACAGAGATGGATTTTTCTGTTAAGACTAATGTATTAATAACTGCCTCGTATGGCAAGTGCCAGGGAAAGCAGGGCAGGTGGCAACATTTTCCCTGGCTGCTGGGAACACACTGACTTCAGCCCTGACCCCTTTCTTGCTCTGAGAGCAAATTAACGTGCACCAAGTTCTGTTTGTAAGGAATGTTTGTGCTGCATATGTTAAAAAGAAGAGAGAGATAAAAGTACACTGCGCTTAACTTGCCTCAAAATCATTTTAAACACAAACCATTAGAAAACTGTTAGTTTGAAATTGTTTATGTGATCTTGCAAGGCTTTTAAAACATGATAACCATCACGCTTTACACCTCTCTGAAAGGTTAGTTTAATCGTAGATCACATAAAATTGGTTTCCACAAATGCATAATGGTTCATGTGTCACACTTGAACTAAATGGTTTTTTAAATGGAGCTGAAATTATTTTGATGTGTACACATTCCCAGATTTTTTTTTCCTACAACCTTTCTTAAACCAGCCCCCATCAGGAACCATTCCCTTAAAGTCTCATTAATAATTCAGATGTTCTGATGACTTTAAAAGATCTATGGAATTGAGGCCTTTTTTTCCTAACTGCTTGACAAAAAGATAAATGAATGTAGAAAGAAGCGGTAGGAGTCTGGCAAGCTGTAGATCATCTCCGAACAGATTGTAACTTTATCATTCTGTCAGGAAGAATAATTTAAAGCACTTAATCAGTTAGCTTCAGTGTGCAGGATGTAACATTATGAATTCCTATCGTCCAATCTGTTCAAATCAAAGGGAACTTAATTATAATAGGTAGGAGAGAGAGGGGAAGATTGGAGATTGAACATTGTTGAGATTCAGACAACTTCAGAGCAAGGGGGGGAGAATATTTACACTAATTTCAAATGAGAGGACATTTTGAAAGGAATTTAAAAAAAAAAAACAGCAAAAAAACAATATAGTAGTTACCTTGAGGGATAGCCCTACCATGATGATGATGATTATAATTCCTTTATTTTATTTTAAGAATAAGCACTAATTTGAAATCCGTCATAAAATAAATGTGTAAAACCTTAATTAGTTTGGAGTTTGTTGTGAGGGGATATTTAAATCCCATACCTGAAGTAAAATTGCCAAAACGCTCATAATGAAGGCACCATAGCTGCAGAATCTCTTTTGTGACCGGTTTGTGCTCATCCCCACAAGTAGGGGCAGAGAGGGCAGAGGGAGAGGATGCACATCCMACCTGCACAAATGCTTGTTGAAGTACAAGCAATGAAATACTGTAAAGCAGTCCAAGAAAAGGAGTTTGGAAGTCTTTGAACAGAGTCACCTCATAAAGCTACTTATCTGCAATTAAAAGATGAGGCAAGTAGTTGTTCTCTGCAGGAATCAAAAACATCATTCCTTTGATTTCTTTTTTTTTTTTTTTTTTTTTTTCTTTTTTTTTAAGACGTTTTAGCCAACATCTGCACAGGGACAGGCCAGTGCAATGGGTACAGCCCTGGGCAAGTGGGGACCAGCTCATCCTTGCAGCCTCTTGACATTCTGCTCCACCAGGCTGCTCCCACCCGTGTCAGGGGGTACCAGGAACCTCCTTCTGTGTCTCTGGGAGCAGATGCYAAAGGGACAGTGTCTCTGCTGAGCATCCTGTGCCTGGTCCAAGGGAGGTGACACCAGCCGCCTTGGGGTGGGAAGGTTCAGAGAAGCCAKTGGCCGTTTAGGCACCCACCTGTGTATGGACTCGTGTGTATGGACTCACGTGTATGGACTTTTCCATATTGCCCTTATCCCATCCGGCTTTTTGGTTTAGCTCTGTATTTGAATTCTTTGCCAATAAATGAAGCAGAGGGCATTCGCCTGAGCTTGTAAAACAGCTCTCACATTCAACAAGCAAATTGCCGGTTTGCTTTAACACCTTCCTCACTATCAGATCTGCAGACATGTCATCCTCCTCTCATGATAAGTATTTCCAAAGGTATTAATCAAATCTAATGCACTGTACTGCTAGTAATTAGTCAAAGTCAGCTTCTATTGATTGCCTTTTTTCCATGAACTTTACTGACTGCTGCCCCTGCTCTTTTTCGGTGTGTGTGTTTGTGTGCTCCTCTAATTAAAATTCTTGTTTTCCCCTCCTTATTCTGTCTCTACCCATTTTGCTCCATAGCAGAAAAGAAATGGTTTACAGATGAGCCGGATAATGCCTATCCCAGAAACATTCAGATCAAGCCCATGAGCACTCACATGGCCAACCAGATCAACCAGTACAAATCGACAAGCAGCTTGATACCGCCAATCCGAGAAGTGGAAGATGAATGTTGACTCCTTGGAGGCCAGAACTATTTTTTTTAAAGCCTGATAAACTCCATGAATGGTGATGTGACATTTATTCCTCTTACACGCTGAACCACTGCTGGAGACATTACGAAGGGCGAGCGTTACGGGAAAATAAAGTAGACAGATCTTTGTTTGTCTGCCTTTAATATTGCTTCCACGTATTTTGGAAACTATCTCATTTATAAATGAACACAGTCAGAACTAGTCATGTATAGCCTCTAGCGTTTTAAATTATTTTTATTTATTAGAAAAATATATTTTTTCTTTTTTTTTTTCATTGTCAAGTATTTTCCCTTAAAAAAAAAAGCTGCATATGTGGCCAGACTCCTAAGAATTAAAAAATAATGATAATAATAATCTGCTCAGTCTTTGGCCTAAAAGGAGAATGATGGTCACAGTTACAAGGAGATGTAATTAAGGGAGACAAATTATATATTTACAAAAAAAAAAAAGGTCCAACTTGTATTTTAGTAAATCAAAAAAAAAAAAAAAAAAAGAAAAAAAAAAAGAAAATAAGAACAGTTTGCCAACATGTTTCTTTACTGGAGGATGTGTATTTTGTTCAGCAATTGACACCAGCTCTTAATAAACTGAACTTATTTATTTTGAGTTGAAATCATATTTTTGTACATGTAACATTCTTCTGAAATTTTCTTTTTCTTTTCTTTTTTTTTTTTTTNGTTTAGTGATTTGCGCTTTGCACGTGGTTTTGCCAAGTTTGAGGACCAAGCTTTTTTGGTGGACAGTGTGAATGAAGGTGTGAGGGCAAAGCAGTAGCGTCTCTTGGTAGCCAGGTCACTGGTTGCATTCCTCAGTTTTTTGCGTTGGAGAATTCTGATCAAAAATTGGAACTTACTTTGAAAAATACAGGTTTCATCATTCTTTGGATGTACAGTGAGGCCTTATAAAATAGAAAAAAAAAAAAAAAGGTCCAACTTGTATTTTAGTAAATCAAAAAAAAAAAAAAAAAAAAAAAAAAAAAGAAAATAAGAACAGTTTGCCAACATGTTTCTTTACTGGAGGATGTGTATTTTGTTCAGCAATTGACACCAGCTCTTAATAAACTGAACTTATTTATTTTGAGTTGAAATCATATTTTTGTACATGTAACATTCTTCTGAAATTTTCTTTTTCTTTTCTTTTTTTTTTTTTTTTCCTTTTTTTCCTGAACCATTCACAGCTCATCTTCATTGATTGCTGCTTAGACTGAGGTCCACCTCTGTCCCCAGCACGCACACACTGAAGGGAGGGACAGGGCCGGGTGCTCATGGGCAGCACTTCTTGCTATAAATGTCGAAGTCTGGTAATTCCATGCTGCTTCCCACTAGTTGCCAGCAGCTGCTCCTTCCTGGAAGCCTGGGACTTCCTCTCGTTTCGCCCTGCATTAGAGCGCTTTAATCCAGCAGGCATAAACAGCACATGAAATCATGAACTATAAACTCTCCCATCTACCATATTTAGTTGGTTTCTGACTTCAAAAGCCCTCATGGCCCTGCATTCATCTTGCTTATCTGGTTCAAATTCTTCCTGATACACAGAGAGGTTTAGGTCCGGATCTGTGAGCTTTGGCGATAGCCCATATCTCTGTGAAAGCCACACTTAATCTCCTTTTTGGTGAGTTCAGAGCAGGATGAAAACACTGGGTTAGCCTCAGCTCCATAATCCTCCAACATGTTGTCCTCAGTTAATTTCTGTAACAAGCAACATCTTGCATTAACAGTTTTTTTTGTTTTGTTTTGTTTTAATTTTCACTTTGCTAGGACATCGTGCATAAAAGTACAGTAATAACCAAATCAACATAAAAGTAATGAATGTATTTATTATGATAACTTTAAAAAGGCCTTTGAAAAGTTGCCTGTCGTGTCAGCAGTTTTACAAAGTGGCCAGCCAGCTTCACAGTCATCAGACAAAAATGTGATGTTTTGTACCTGTGCTGCAGTATCTCTTCACCCAAGCATTTGATGTTTTAAACAACTTAGCAACTCTCTAAATCTCAAATTAGTAACATTTGACACAACTAAGTGGGAAAAAAAAAGACAGAGAGAGAAAAGGATATGCTACTGAGGAGTGAAATAAAACCATAGGACCCAGTCATCAGAAGAACAGATTTTCATTGTGCAAGTTAACTTTAGGCTTTGTAATTTTGCAGAGTTGTAAAATACCACAATAAAACCTACTGTGGTATTTTTATCATTAGAGAAATATCAGTGACTCAGATGACTACAAAGCAGATGAATTTACYGTTAAAACAATGATGTCCACTATATAATCCAACATTTAAGCTAAACTATATCAGCTTCAATGTTCGTCCACTGGCTGCAGTACAAATATAACCATACTACCAACTAATAGGCTTTATTCTGGAGTGACTTCTTGGACTGTGACTACTTTGTTGTTACATTTTGTAGAATAGTTATTTTAAAAAATAACACAAATTGTTAATACAGTGTATGTAAAATTGGATTATTCAAAATATTTATTTCACTCTCCTACAAAGAAACAAATTACTTTGAACAATTTTAAAAGGTGGGTTTTTTAAAAAAACATTTACACCTTGTTTAACCCATTTCACAGCCCCCAAAACAAAATATGATTCTGGTGGTTTCTTCTGATCCATGTTACTTCTGCTAATGACAGGTTATAATTTGCATCCATTTTCTGCATTGGGTCATGTTCAGTGTTCACACTGAAGTCAGTACTCCTTTTTCGTTCATGAACTGCAATCATACTATGGCTAGATTGAAAATAATTTGGTCTTGAGTATCAGAGACTTTGAAGTATGTGTTCAACTTCACCTAGTACCCATGGGATTTTTTTTTTTTTGGTCTTTTTTTTTAATTTGTTTGTTTTTTAAGGCTGGTGTTTAATCTATAGGCATAAAAACACATACAATTCTTAAATGACCATACACAGTACCATTTCTTAGCATCCTTCCTTCATGCTGTGTAAAGCATAGTAATGAAACCAATATGCAACAGTCCCACACTGCTAAGGTATGTGTGTCAGTTGATTTGTCCTACCCCAGACACCACATTGCCACCTACACACGAGTGAAGGACAAGGTCTGAATGCCCTTGCACTGCAGCCTCACAAATAGATCTGTATATCGACATCACATACAAAGAATGAGGGAGGAAAGTAATGCATATAGGTATGTTTTGCATCATGCATTTACAGAAGGAGCTAAGAGAAATCAATAATCTTTTTTCTTACTCCTCCTTTCTGTGATTAGACAATGCAGTGACTCAGGGCTGGGTGCTGGAGGACACAGACAACCTGTGTTGAACTTTGTCCCGYGGGCAACGTATATGGCTATAAGGTCAGCACCAATCCCAGCACATATTCCATTACATCCAGGCAAGTGGCCAAAGTGAGAGCTGACAGAGGACATGCTGATTGATGTAGAAAGAAGGTTTTGATCTTTCCTTTTCTTTTTTTTTTTTGATGTTTCTTACCTCTCTTTCAAAATGGAAGAAAAGAAAACAAAACAGAACTCCGTATTCCTCATGAATTGCATGAGCAATTAAGCCAGGCATAACTATTTCTTTTGAAATTCATGCATTGGATGGTGTGCGTTTGCATATATGCCCATAGATTTTTTTTTTTTTGCATATACAAATACATATATGTGTATATATATTTTCTAGAGATCAGTCATATTAATTTTTTTTTTTTTTTTTTTTTTTTTTTTGTGGAGGCAGGGAGGACACAAAGAAAAACAAATATTCCTGTTCCTGACAGGCTGGCAGGTGGAGCATTTATATCTACTGTTCTCTTCTGGTTTGCCCAAGCTGTATCTTTTTAGCTGCATTAGCTGTGCAMAGACTGTGTGCTGTGGAAACCCACATCCGCACTGAGGCACGTGGGCACCTATCGCTCCCCCATACACACCTGCACACACAGAACCAGCTCAAATTCAGCAGCTACAAAAACAATAGTAGGGCCTCCATGCAGCTTTATGTTGCTTGGAAGATAATAATTAGACAATGAATTAATGGAGGGAAAAAAGCGCAAACCTTTCCTTGTACAGTTCAAAGACTTCCTAAAAATATCACTTCTGTGATTGCACTAAGTTCAAATTGCCCGGGCAGCCCCAAGGGTGGAACGAGGGGCACCCACAGCCAGGCCCTCATGAAGCTGTCACCTTGTGGCCACCTCCCACCTGACTTTGATGGGAAATTCCATGACATCTGTGCAAGGGGAGGGCCATGAAGTCCAAAACAATGAGGACCCAGTGCAGCCTTATTAAGGCTTACATAGGTCTTGAACTGGAAAACTAATCTTATGCAATGCAGAAAAAGAACCCCTGCAAAAGTATTAGGTATAATCTCTTATTATATATTTCTGGATTTTTAAAAATTTATTTATTTTTTTGTCCTGTGTATGAAGATGCTGCATTTCTTGAGGTCTTTATAGAGCAGGAGAAGAAGGGGAAGTATAAGAGTGTGATCTCATTCACGGAGGGTGATTTCTGTTGGTTTAGTGCTTTTTTTTTTTTTTTTTTTTTTTTTTTTTTTTTTTTTTTTATGTGTAAACCATATTGAACAAATAGTGCTGTAATTGGAGGCATAAACTAATGCATGACAAGAGCAATAATTTACAAATGGGTAATTATGCATGTTTCCACCGCCTGTTCCTTCACCAGCTAACCCATGTGATGCCAGCACCATCGCTGCTCAAACCGACTCGCAGGATCTTGAGGCTGGAGAGCAAAGCTGCTCTGAACATTGTCCTCAGGAAGGTGTCTACAATGCCTCCTGGGTGTCAGGGCATGCAGAAGTGAATGCATTTCTGCATTTTGCGGGAGGGGAGGTTGCCTAGACATCATTGCCTAGTTCTTTAGCACGAGGAAAAAGTGCACTTTTCACTTTTAGTTTTAAATGTGGGTAAGTAAAATAAGCAAGTGTGTGGCAAAGCAGGTGGGGAACAATGTGAAAGTGTGTTGTAATGGATTGGCATGGGAATATCTGTTAAAGTCAATGGAAGCTGTGTGGAAAAAGATTCGGGGGAATGGAGAGTTCATTATACGTTTTGTTTTTCTTTTTCCCCTTCTTCTGACATCCTAAACCACCACAACTTGAACATGTTTCTATTTTTAAGGCTGTATTAACATCCACAGACATGAGATCTTTTTTTTTAACTTTATTTTTTCATTATACATACACACCTCTCCTCTGGATCACCTAATATTTAGTTATCAGGCATAATAATAATTGCATTTTTGTACTGATCAGTATTAGTAGGAGTGGGTACAGGCTCAGTCTGA